TGAGGGATAGGGATGATGTTATAAGGAATGGATGTGTTTGGGATGGATCTGGCAAGTTGTGCATAGATGAGGAGGAAAAAGCTCAGGTGTGGAAAGCTCATATGGAAAGGTTGATGAATGAAGAGAATGAGTGGGATGGAGATGTGGAATCCGCAGTCACACACAGACCTATAGAGAAGGTGACGATGGAGGAAGTAGAGAAAGCAGTTAGAGAAATGAAACTAGGTAAGGCGACAGGGGTTTCGGAAGTGGCGGCAGAACATATAAAAGCGAGTGGGGTGATAGGAATTGAAGTTATGATGAGAATTGCTAACAGTATGTTTGATGATGAAGGTATACCTGAGGATTGGCGACACAGTGTGTTGGTGTCGTTGTATAAGGGCAAAGGAGATGTGAGAGATTGTGGGTCATATAGGGGTGTGAAATTACTAGAGCACGGAATGAAGGTAGTGGAGAGGTTGCTTGAGATTTTGTATGCAGATGATTTAGTCTTGATGGCTGATAGCATGGAAGAATTGCAGTTAAAATTTGACAGATGGAAAAGTGTTATTGAAAAAAAGGGTTAAAAGTTAATATTGGTAAGACGAAGGTAATGGTGAGTGGGAAAGGTGGGGAGCGAGTGATAAGTAAAATAGACCCCTGTGGGGTATGTGACAGGAGAGTGAAAGCTAACTTGGTATTGTGTATAGGATGTCAGAAATGGGTGCATAAGAGATGTAGTGGTGTGAGGGGGGCACTGAAAAAGGTGGAAGGCACGTTCAAATGTAAGAAATGTGTTCATGGTGTGATTAATAGGACGGACGCAAGGACGGGGTTGAGTGGTGGTATTGAAAGAGTGGAAAGCGTTGTTTACTTAGTGGATAAGCTGAACGCGGATGGAGGATGTTTGAGGGCAGTTACGGCTAGAGTTCGTGTAGGATGGATGAAATTTAGGGAACTGGGTGGGGTATTGTGTGGAAAGAAATGGTCAGTGAAGATGAAAGGGAGGGTATATAAAGCATGTGTGAGAGCAGCGATGGTATATGGTGGTGAAACTTGGGTGTTGAGGAGAGAGGAGGAAAGTGTACTGCAGAGGGCTGAAAGAGCTATGGTGAGGATGATGTGTGGGGTTAAAGTGAAGGATAGGAGGTGAAGTACAGTGCTGATGTCAATGATGGGACTGAATGAGGACATTGTGACATTGATAAGGAGATCGAGATTGCGGTGGTATGGACATGTGTTGAGAAGGGATGAAAGGGTCGGGATTAGGCGAGCGTTGGAGTTCGAGGTTGAAGGAGTGGTAGGAAGGGGTTGTCCGCGATTGGGATGGAGAGAGCAGGTGGAGAAGGACAGGGTGAAAGCGGGGTTGCGTGATACTGAGGCGAGTGACAGATGTGGATGGCGTCGAGGGGTATTTCGGTTTCATCATAGGTAGCCAAACGGCAACCCCTGATCTCGGGGAAAATTTCGTCTAAACGTGTGTTGTTTGTTGTTGTTTTCAGAGCTAGTCAATTTTTGTTAAATAAAACTTTAAATTAAGCCTATTAAGTTATGTGGAGTTTGATTAGATTTAAATTTTAAATACATTGATTATGACAAATGATCAAATAAGATATTTATTTTATTTTATATAGATTTATTAATTATTAATTGTTGCATCATTTCTTATTCAATATTTTATATTTTATTTGTTACAAATGTTATCCACAACCTCTCATTCAAATTCAATCAACCATTTTATTTCACATCATAACAAAAACAAATAATAATAAACATGATATCAGCACCATCAAATACTTGTTTAAATTAATATTAAAAATAAATTATTAGTTAAAATAAAAAGTTGATGCAACCAAACTAAAACCAAGATAAAAATAAATGAAATAATATGTCACCTGAAGATCGTAGAGAGACCCAGTTCATTAAACGCATCAAATAAACTGACATTTCTTCTTTCTTATTTTTACAAAATCAAAATCTGACTGTGACTGAGAAAAAAATTAACAAATGAAGGATGAGCTCACAGGCTCACAAACCAACACATATACAACACACACAGAGAAATGTTAATTTGTTACAAGTGTCACCCACAACCTCTCATTCAAATTCAATCAACCATTTTATTTCACGTCAGATAAAATCGGACCGCTCGCCTGAAAAGAAATGAACCGTTCGTGAAATCAGGCAGACACACTTCTTGAATCTCGCGTACGAGATCCTTGACATTAATGATTAAAAACACGAATGCTCAATGGCCGCGTCTTATTTTTGATTAATAAAAATTCTTCAGATATTGGGTGCGACACTAATTTTTGTCAAGGGATTGCCCGGGACATCATCATCATCATCATCATCTGCTGTTTGCCAGCCCAGGGCGGCAATAGCTAGTCATAAAGAGCCTCCATCTTCTTCTATCTTTTGTAATTTTTCCGGCTTCATATACACACATCTATAAAATATATAATTGAAAAACGAATATTTATATATATATATATATATATATATATATATACATATACATATATATATATATATATATATATATATATACACATATATATATATATATCAGACCAGACGTGAATTTGGTAGACCTCTCTGGATTGCCTACGTTGACTTGAGAGCGACTTTTAATTCAGTCAACTGGGATGCATTGTGACTGTTGTTTCGTGGTTTTGGAATCCCTGATTACCTGGTAAAACTACTTAAAGCTCTATGCACCCACA